AAATGAAAAGTAAAAACATCTATTTTAAAGTGTCAAAATGAAGTAATATGCATTTTTAAAACTAAATATTTGATTAAAATGTGGAAGCAAACCATTTTTGACCTCTCCTTCTTTCCTTTTTTTTTTGTTGCCATTGCTCTTTATTGGATTTGATCCAATTCAACATAAGTTTTGGTCCTCTTCAAACTGCGTTATTACACAAGTTTTGCTAATCAGTGAAATATATTTTCTCAGTGGTACTGTATATAGCACATTGGAATGGTGTGGTCACAAATGACAGTGCAAGTGCACATGTGCAAAACACTTTCATAGTATTCTCATGATAGAATATAGAAAAGTTGTCTAGTCCTTGCTTCAATTTGATCACACAGTCTCACCCTGGAGTTTAACTTAAATGCTAGATGGTAAGTCCAGACAGCAAAAAAGCACACTATGCTTACTAAGTAGGAAAGGAAGGCTATAACTCTTATCCTATGTTTTGTTCCCCCAATCAACCACTACCACCTCAGGTTTCTTGAAATTGAGGTTCAGGTAGAAAATCTTCATCCTCAATTCAAGCAAAAATTGGGCTACATGGTCTGGGTTGGATGAAATGAATAAATAAAGCTAAAGGTCATCAGCATGCTAAATACACCTCAGACCACATATCATCCCAAATTCTGTTCATATCCTGATGTTAATTTTTAATAAGATCTGAGAAATATGAGAGAAGAAACAAACGGAAGAATTGGTGGGGAATGTGGTAGTGGATGGCAATCTGTTCAGCAGTGACCATGAGAGGACTGAGTTTAGGATTCCAAGGAAAGGTAAAAAGGGAAACAGCAGAGTAAGGACCCTATACTTCAGAAAAGCAGACTTTGACTCACTTAGGGAACTGATGGGCAGGATCCCCTGGGAGGCCTGTCTAAGGGAGAAAGGAGTCAAGGAAAGCTGGCAGTACTTCAAAGAAACCTTATCAAGGGCACAGAAATGAACCTTCTCAACACACAGAAGCAGGCTGTGGCTGTGGAAGGGACTGAAGGGGAGGTCAGGAGGTCCCAACTGGCCCAGCAAGAGAGAGAGGAGCCAGAAGAATAGGGGGCCTGGGGTCCAGGGGCAGAGAGCCTGAGCCCATTGAGGGGTGGAGCCATAGGGCCAGAAGCTGGCCTTGGAAGAGAAAGGCCTGGGCTCCAGAGAGAGGGAACTTGAGTCCAGGAGGGACAAGGTACTAGGGAGAAAGTCCAGTGCCTGGGAGTGTATTCAGAAGGGGGCCTTAAATAATTTCTCCTGCCTCCAAGAGGGCACACTTCTATGGGGCTTTACAAGGTCCCATCTTAGAATAATAGAAAATTAGTGTTGGAAGGGAGCTCAGGAGGCCATGTAGTCCAACTCCCTACTCAAGACAGGATCATCCCTAACTAGATCATTTCAGCCAGGGCTTTTTTGAGCCAGGCTTTAAAATCCTCCAAGGATGGAGATTCCACCACCTTGCTAGGTAACCCATTCCAGTGTTTCACCACTGTCATAGTGAGAAAGGTTTTCCTAATATCCAACCTAAACTTCCCTTGCTGCAACTTGAGACCATTGCTCCTTGTCCTGACATCTGTCACCACTGAGAACAGTCTAGCTCTATCCTCTTTGTAACTATCCTTTAGGTAGTTAAAGGCTACTATCAAACCCCACTCAGGTCAAACTTTTGAATGCTGGAAAAAACACATCTTTTATCAAAGGCAACACACGCAGCAAACATCCTTTTGTCTTAAGCAACAACCTGAGAAATTCATACAATTTCCAGTGCTCCACCCTTCAATGGGCTCAGGCTGTCTCCCCCTGGGCCCCAGGTCCTCTATTCTTCTGGTCCCTCTTTCTCTTGCCAGGCCAGCTGGGACCTCCTGACCTCCCCTTCAGTCCCTTCAGCTGTTTGTTGAAAAGGTATCTCAACTAAGCATCCAATTTCAGCAGAGGAAGTCTGTTCAAAATGCTTATTCACTAGTTTTTATTTTGTACTGTATATGAATGATACTCTTTCCTCATGCATAGTTTTGTCCCTTGCTCCAGTATCCCATAGCAACAATTATTGACAATACTAATCTATTTGATCTCAGTTTCTACCCATTTCAACAGCACTTTTAGCTAGGAACTTCTGCTCTGAGACTGTCTCCCTTGATTACTGCATAGAGATTAGAAATTTCAGTGGTTACCATTGATTAGCTGCTGCTTCAATTTAAGTAATGGTCTCAAGAGCACCATAGATTAGTGGCTCAGCAAATTTCTTAAGCAACCTTGTTCTGTCTTTTTTTTTTGGTTTCATTGTTTCCCTGCCTTGCGATGGGCAATGGCAGCAAAGCTGCTAATATTTGCAGGTAGTTTCTCAGATCTTATGTATGTGTATTACAGATGAGAGGTAAGAGTAATAACAACATTTAGCACTAAAAAGCTGCCCAGTTTATTTAGTTGTAAAAGTTTGCTATTTAGGTTAGTACATGTTGTGTGCAATAAAATGTTTAAAGAAATGCTATTTTTTCTAACTTAATTTTAAACATTTTAAAAGCTATACTGAGCACACTTTCTACATCCTCTAGAGGAGTTGTTTAAACATTACAAGTTTGAAATTTTTCCATTAATTTTAGTTCAATTAATGGTCAGATTATTATTTGTATGTGGAAGAATATGTATTAGTAATACCTGATTGACACCAAAAATGGTTTAAGGGATGTTGCTGACACTTTCCAGAATAATTTTAATTTGTTGATGTAAAGCAGTGGTGCTCAACCTTTTTCCTCAGCGGGCCGGATGGACAGTGTCCCATCCATCCAGGGGCTGAATCCTGCAGGTGGGCACTATTCAGCTACATGGAGGGGGCAAGGGGCAGCTCAGCTGCAACCCATCCCCTGGGGAGAAAGGGGGCATGGCTTGACCCATGGTGTGGGGAGATGCATGGCCCAGTCCCAATCTGGCCCTGTGGGGAAAGGGGATGTGGTTTGGCCCTGAAGAGATAAATGGTTTATGGCGTGGCCCCAACCTGCCCCCATAGAGAAAAGGGGGCATGGCTTGGCCCCAACCTGGCCAAATCTAGGAGCAAGTGGTGTGGCTCAGCCCCAATCCAGATGCAGGGCAGGGGTATTGCCCAATTGAAACTGCCAGTGTGGGGCTTGGGGTTTGGAAATTTGATGAGGGAAGGGTGACAGTATTAATGGCCACTGCTTCCCCACCACCAAAGTTCTTGCCCCATGGGGAGCCCCAAAGATGCAATGGCTTTGCGGGCCACATTTGACCCATGGACTAGAATTTGAGCACCCAAAGTTAATTCTTTCTGTTCTTTTGCAACACCAATGTAGACCCATTGGTCTGCAAAAATTGATTTTTTTCTTCCTAAGGGCATGGCAGGTTTGTTCTAAATCAGTGGTTTTCAAACTGCCTAAAATCACAGAAATCCTTTCAGAAATTGTCTGCTGCTTCAAAACTCAGAACTCAGGCTCCATGGGCCATGTGAACTGACATGGAGTCAGGCAAACAGGTCCAGCAATGGCAGTGCATCCCCTGCCAGCCTGTTCCACCATAATCCCTAGTCTGCTCGCAAACCCCCTGATGACCCTAAGGTTCTGTGGAACACTTTGGAAATCACTATTCTAAACCGAGAAGGAAAAATAGGACCTGGTATTTGTCCTCACTGTCTCTTCCTTCACTAGATCCCATGGTACGAAGAGTTATGATTATTCATAGCATTTAATGGGACTATTTCCACTTAGTTTTTGGAGTATTGAGGGGGATCTACGGTTGATGAGATTTGCTTGTTTGGTCTACTTTATGAATTCACTTTAGGATGGCAGGTGGTTGGACTAGATGACCTCTGGAGGTCCCTTTCAGCCCTACTTCTCTGTGACTATATGGGTGCTCCCAGACAAGCGCACATGTGCAGTTTGTGACACTGCTAACTTATCTGTGCTGCCGCACATTGCATGTGCATGCATTTGTTGCATTGCTAATTTGCAGCATGACAGGTTTTTCTGACCCTGGGAGATCCCAGTGTCAAAAAGAATTACACCAATGAAAAGAAGGGCCTTGCATATGGCTGCAGTGTGCACCACCCAAAATCGGAGCCTGGCTGGCCAGAGCCGCACTTTGGCTGCTGGCTAGGCTCTGGATTGCCATCACTACAGCCCCAGGAAGCCTCCAGGTTTCCAGGTAAGGTAAGGCTGCTGGGGCCAGTCCTGGGGAAACGTATGTTTCTGCTTGTGGGGATGTGCCCTATGAGCAGGGATCCTGGTTTTTCCTGATAAAAAATTGCAATTTCTCGGAAAAATTAAAGGCCCCTAATGCCCCTCAGCCCCCCCAGCCCTGCTGGTGCCCTTCACTCCCTTCCCACAGCCCCCTGGCCCTGTTTATGCCCCTCACTCCCCCACCACCCACAGCCCTGCTGGTGCCCCTTGCCCTCCACTCACAGCCCCTAGCCATCCCCAGCCCTATTGGAAGGGCCCCCCCAGCTGCCAAGGCTATGGGGCCAAGGACCCAGGTCCACAGCCCCCTGCCCCTGGAAGGAGGCAGCGGTTGCTGCAGTGGAGCAGAGCAGAGCTCAGCTACCCCACCCCCCAGGTCAGCGAGATCGGCTGCCAGGGAACTCTGCCAGCCTGCAAAGAGCTCTTTGCAAAACTGTGAAATCTGCAGGTTTCTCTGGTAAAATGAGAAATCCATGTTTTCCTCTGGTAAAGGGTAAAATCTGTGGTTTTCTCCATTTCCCCATGGGAGATGGAAAACCTGGATCCCTGCCTATGAAGTTATTTTAAACTTATGTTTCTCTTGGAGTGGAAGGATGTTTTTCCTGCAAACTTAAGATTGATTTAAGGGTGACCCATATCGAAATTCTGCATTGATTTCTATTTGTTACATTTAAAATATGTGGTATTCATTTGACCATTTCCAGTAATATTTCTCAGCCTCTGTTTAGCTGAATAAAATTAAATAATACAATCTATTCCTATCCCCATTATAGCTATTGACAATATTAATTTGTTTCTCTTTAGGTATTACCACATTAATCGCAAAACACATCTACGATGCAGCATATCCTCTTCATGATGTATGTATATGCTATCTAAATGTGTTTCTCTAATATTATTATAATATGCTGCATAGCCACGAATGGTTACTATGTGGGGAAAGGCAAAATATCTCCCAGTGTATCTGACATAATTAAAGTAAGGGAGATTCTTAAATAAAATATATTCTGGCTGTAACTGAAAAGTAGAAATAACCAAGTGATAGTGAAAAATTGCTGAGCAAAGCCATTGTGCTAAATATTTTGTTTTATTACATTTTTTCATTTCATCCAGCAGTTACCAATTTGATTATTTTTCTAGGGTGGATATGAAGGCCAAAAGGATGAGATGAATGACAGAAAGGTAGGATACTTTACATAAATAGTATTGTGGTGGATTTTGAATAATCTAAAGTAAGGCTGGAGGAGCTCTGCTCAGAACTACTTGGTGATGCTCATTTGAAGGACTATGACCACAAATTCTTTTAATTGGTATTTGCAACCCCTTTTCAAAGTACTTCCTTTCATATGATTGATAGTTTGTTTGCAAGAATGTTAACATAACATTTGGCAATAGTTAGGGCAAATTTAGTTTGATGCAGCTGGCCATCTTGAAATTCCTTGGATTTCCCTTTTCCTGTTTAGAAAAATGTCATTCAAGCAGTCAGGAAGCAAAAATTGTTATGTGACTTAAGCGAGCAATGCCCTGCCACAAGTAAGTGATGACATAGATGAATTAGCTGTAGGCTAAAACATGGTAGCATGAAATTTTATCTTTTGAACACATTTTGTTGGAAAAGTAAATTCTTTGCAAGTAATCACAACACGAAAAAGTTCTGTCTGTAAGATAAGTGATTATGAACTGTTCACTAAGCTGTAATCTCTACATACGAAAAATGAACACAAATACGAAACTGAATGTACTATCTTTGGTGTTTGCAAAATGTGTATTCTGCCTACTAGAAATGAACTATAGCATTCAAGTGTTATAATAATCTATGTTCCATTTTGTACCTTAATGTTTATTTTTTTTCCCTCTTGGGTGTTTGTATTGAAGCATTGTCACATATAAGAGAACTGATAGGAAATGAAGTGGGGAGAATGGGGGGGGGGGAAAGGGAGGGAAGAAGAGAAGAAAATAATAGAAAACCTGAAGTGTGATTTGATTCCTAATACTCTTAGCACATATTCTTGATGAGTAGTAAGTCGATTCATAAATATTTTTACCCAGCTTTTTTCCACGCTGCGATGTATGAAGGAAAAAAAGGAAAATGCTATTCATTATAGCATTAATGTTAAAACTGTTCCCATAGTTTTCAGAAGTATGATTACCAAGAAATCAACTTCTTGTGTAGTGGTTATGATTTGCATTTGAAACTAATCTTGTGTACTAATTTGCAATGATCGATTAGCTGCCAGGGCTGTATCAAAGAAGAGTAGAAAAACTTGACTTTCCTGAGCAGCTGTTTTTTGTAATGTAGTTATTCCAGCCACTAGATGTCTCTGGATGCCATATATGTTATCATTTAGGTTATGCTCTTTGGTAAACAAAAGAGACAAAGCTGGGATGCAAATTGTGTGGAAACCTGTCTTCTTTTATAGTTGTCTTCTTTAATAACCATCTCTTGTTCAAGCAGATCTGCACTTTTCTGTATCATAACATTGTCTATACCACATTTATACTAGCCTATTCTGGCTAAATGAATGGAGCATAACTATAGGCTCTAAATGCAGCCGCAGAGTTTACCTAGTTAAAAAGCTAAACAAACTTCCAGTTAGAAGTCTAACAGCTAGGCTGTCTGTGAGAACAGATTGGATAATGTGGGGATAGGGAAAAGAGGGCCTGAAAGTATTAATGCCTGGAAAAATATTCATTCGACAAGTTGCATTTTGTACTGCCTTCTTTTCATCCTGCCTATTAGGACCTGTTATGAAGTGTTAAGTATTAAAAACATAAAAGGTTCTTTGCAGAAATGCTGTATTGATTGTTTGCATATGTCTTTGCTGTCTAGCTGTAGAATCTGCTGTAGTATTTCTATGTGTATGATCATCTGTTTTCTATCTGCATGTAATAGTCTCAGTGTTTAATTTCCTGAAAAACCCTGATCAGGTTTAAAGGGAAGGGGGGAATTTTTTTAAACCTATTTTCTGCCCCTTTCTGTTACATCCCCATTAAGTTGTATGCATCTTCCATTAATTTGCCTGTAGTATAACCCCAAATAATGGTGAAAGGAGCCTGTCTGGGGTGCTTTTCTTTATAAGGCAGCCCAAGTAACTAAGATTAATGTACCAGCTCATAAAGGACAAGGTTAATCCTAATTAACCCTCTTCAGGATATCCTTGGGAAAATGTCCTATGAACAATATTTTTGTGGCTGCTTGTTGAGAACCATTTGGTGAAATACACTCTTTTCCTAAGACTTGATTTGAAGAGCAAAGGCATTTTCCTGGTTCAATGAGGTGTCTGCTACAGGGGAAATTTCTGTAAGGAATCTCTTGCACAGCAGCATTGTAGTAGCTTGCCTGAAGGAAAAGGATCAGTGCCTTGATGCCTTTTTAAGCTTCTAGCCCATTGGCACCAGTTGCCTCTTCGTTGCTAGCAGTATCTTTTATGCTGAGAAATAAAAATGAATTGTAAAATCTCTCTGGAAATTACATTGCCATGCTATAAGACATAAGAAATTGGATTAAATGTATTTTGATTTACCTGTGTAAAGTACCACTGTTAAGTGGGGCCATGAAAATACAGATGAAACATGATGTTACAAAGCTCTTCCAGGGACTCCCATTACTTTCATAAAATCGATGGCAGAAACACCCAGACATTTCACAATAAACTGAGTTTCATAAAATTGCAGGGCGAAAATGCTTTGAAGACCAATCCATACCATTATAATCATTCAGTCTGACTTCTTGGCATAACTCTTAGTTAAGCTAAATCATGCTTTTTAAAAATAACTCCATTTTTTTTTTAAATAAAAAAATGAAAGTAAATTCTCTTTCATCATATTCACAACCAGTTTTGGATTTGGTTTCTGTGTATATTTCAGAAGATACACTTATTGGTAAGACTGTCTACTGGAACAATTAATTTAAAGTTAATATTGTTCATGTTCACAGGGAATGGATTTGAATAGATAAAGTATGGGCTAAATACTAGGCCTGTGTGATTTGGCTGATTCGGGGGACAGTGATTAGATTCGGTGATTCTAATCACTGTCCCGACTTGATTTGGCTCCTGCCGAATCTCCAAATCAGCCAGCCCGGCAATGGCTGACCTGTCCACCCCAGCTCCCACATTTATTAAAAAAAAAGCCCTGACTCAGTGGGCGCTGCCAGGTGAGGGGCAATCCCTGCTGCTCCCCACTGCCCCACATTTCATGGGGAGCTCTGCACAAGACCTCCAACCCCCACTGCTCCCCCAGCCCCCCCTCCCATGGCTGCCCTGCCTGCCGCGGCTCCGGCCCTTTAAGAATCCCCCCTCCCAAGAAAACCCTGGACTCACTGCTCCTGCCAGAGTGGGGGGGAGATGATCTTTGCTGCCCTCTGCTATGTGAGGGGC